GGAACCAACCTGTGCCTAGGAACTTATCTGAGATGAAGGGGATACTCCATTTGCTCTGGCAGGAGAGGCAGCGGGAGGCAGTCGCTTCAGCTATGGTTATGTGATGGGATCATCAGCAGGATGGAGAAGGAGTCTAGGGGCCATTTCCTGCCTGGGTAGTGCCTGGAAATGAGATGTGTCCTCAGCAAAGTGAGCACCTGTCAAAATTTCAGATTGGGATTGAGACATGAAAACAAGGTGGTTTGGTAAGCATACAGTGAAAGGCACAGATGTCTTGTTATTTTGGCTTCTATTCCTTCAAAGTTGCCTTTACCTTTTCTTCTTTAAGTGACAAAGAACTATTCTTGTGACCTCTCAGACATCTTGTCACCCACAGTAGTTTCTTATCTTTGACAGCTACACCATGTTCAACTCATAGAAATGGAGCAAAACAAAGTCTATTGATTTGAAAATACTACTGAGGAAGCAGAAACAAAAATAAAACTGCACAAAAAGCCTTCTTATCTGTAACTTTTCTTCCATTTTTACTTTTTTTACTTGTAGCTTTAGATCTTGTATTTATTTATTTATTTATTTATTTATTATGTCACATGGTGACACTGCCAAATTGTCACAGATCTAAAAGAAAAAGAGTTGTGGGTAACAAAGTGCCGCAATGGGAATTAATTCTACTGCAGGGCCTTTCCTGGCTTAAAAATTTGGGCGTGAGGGGAGAGATGGAAAGAGGATGGCTAAGTTGAGAGAAGAAAGCAATTGGAAACCAATGCCAGTGTGTCAAGTAATAAGGGAAGCCCAGAAACAGAAAATAGAAATGGAATAATTGAGCCAAAAGGCTTCAGAACTCACTTGTTCAATGGGCAGAGCAGCACAGATTCCGTGCTGAGCTCCTCAGTGGAAGGAAAATGTGAAAGAACAGACAGTAATCAATGGAAACTGTTTATGGACCAAGCTTACTGATAAACAAGCATAAAGAACATCTGTAAGCCAAGCTCAGTGCAGGTTAAAGCATGATGCTTCTTCATACTGCTTTTTAACAAATTTTAAATAGCTTTTCTATGTGCCAAATCCCTACTCCTGGGCAGATCTAGTGCTCTTTAAAGTATAGATCAGTGCTATGAAGTTCACACTTGTATTACCAGGGTGGAAAGATTCTACCAAGAGTTTTACAGTGTTAATGTAATCACATGTGCATCTACTGTATTGACCCTGTTTCTTTTTGCTTCAGGGCAGCAACTGTAGAGACCATTTTTAATCATTCCATGGCATTATTATTTTGTTTGACCATGCAAAGGTTGTTAGATATAATTTATCCCTAGTGCACCTATATATATTCACTGGAGTTAAACTAGAGGAGAAGCTGCTCTATAGTGTTTATAATGGCATCAATTAGCACTGAAGCACAAACATTTATAGAAGACTTCACTGTAGCTCATTTTTAATTATTTTACAAGTTGTGTACCAATTTAATTATATAGCTGAGACTAAGCCATATAAAAGTGACATTATTATGCTACAGTCTCTTGAGATTCTGGCTTTTGCAGCTTAAGGGATCAATCACCTCATTTGGAGAGTTCCTACTGTTATTAGAGCTGAGAATGTTTAGCAACTTCTAGGAGCATCTCAGCTTCATGCAGGATCTGCCTAATGATACTGATTGTCTTTGGAAACAACATGATGGTGACAGGATCATAAGACTTGAAGTGACATGCTCTTCAAATCTCCCCGTTCAATTATATTCAAGTTTCAAGCAACCAAATCAATGTAGATTTTTGTGGATTTTTTGTTTTTTGTTTGTTTGGTTTTCCTCCCTAATTGCAATATCTGTGTACTCCAACATAAACACAATCTTTGGATCCCTTATTGCCCCCCTACTACTTGCTGTATCTAGCTGCTCTGCAGTTAAGAACATGTAAATCTGAGCAAAGGTCAAGAGCTGAGAGACAAATCCATTAGGCCAAGAAAAAAGGCACTTTTTCTAATTGAACATATTCACTGCAAATGATGCTTTAGCTTTATTATGTCTACACAATTTCTTCCTAGAAAGAAAAAGAACTTCTGAAATAATTTATGTCTTTGTATCCTTCTAACATGCAGTTCACTTCAGGGCCATCTCAGTGGTCAGTATGTCTTTCTTATGAGTAGAGATTTGAATGCCTAGGCTACAGTTGATAGATAATACACTATCGATTTAATATGCTATGCTATTAATTGCTGACCTACTTCATTGAGGAATATTATGGAGTAAATTTAGAAAAGTTCAGTTTTATCACCACTTTCCTAGGCTGGCACAGAGCAAGATTTCTTCTGGGACAGAGTGAATTAACAGTATACTCTCAAAGCTTGTAGAGCTGAGCCAATTTACTGAATCTGAGCTTTCCGTGGACTTTTCTCACTGAACTTCTGAGCTAAGCAATAGTTCTACAGGTACTTCTTGTCCTATCCAAAGTGAGAATATATCTGTTGTTTTATGTTGTGAGACCTGTTTCTATCTAACATGGATGTACCTGAAGCTGAATTTCCAGCCATACTGGAATGGATATTTCCTATGGAAGACCCCACTCACCAATGGAAGGGTCTGCTGGGACTGTTTCAGTCCTCATGAGGGTGACAGCAATGACCTGGGCTGGACAGTGTGCCACCTGCACATGCACACCAGGACAGGCAGTGTTTGTGCCTGGAGCATCTCCTGAGGCGGGCAGTCTTCTAATTACATCAGCATGGCCTAGGTGCAACCAGCTGGGCAATTGCTGGTGTACAAATCATGGCCCCTTCTTTCCTGGGAAGACAGCCATGAGTGCTGAAGGGACGTACTTGCACCATTGCTGGCTTCCCTGGTGCTGTGTCTCAGGGACACAGATTTGTGAGAAGTGAATGGAAAGAGACTGAAAATTTACTTGCTTTTTTCCATTCCATAATAAAGAATTTGGTAGAGTACAATAAAGGGGAGCTTACGCTCTGCACCCAAACAATACTTGCCTTCTTGTGTATCCAGACATGGAGAATAGGGGGTTCCAACTACTTTAAAGACTCTGATTTCATTTTGGCACGAGAGAGAGCTTTTTATCTTATTGCTTTTGCTCTTTCCATAGTCTGTTGCCAGTGAGATTTATTTGACTAAACTATTGGCAAATATGCAAATATCTGTTAACTGCCTCAACATGTCAAGTCTCAGCTGGTCTGTTTTTCTCTGTCAAACTGAATTACAGTCCAAGAGAAAATGTAGTGTGACGCAAATGACAAAATTTGACAGGACCCATCACAATAAAATGTGCCAGCCTTGGGATACCCAGAAGCAGTTCCCTGAGCAAAGAAGTGATACCCCTGTCCCCCAGCTCCTCTCCCTGCTTCCCCTCATACAGATGAGTTCATAGTTCCCAGCTTGCCTGTCAATATGTCTGAGAAATCAAGCAGACTTTTCCTGGTTGCCAGTCAAATCAGAAGTCGTGTCCTGTGTATTGTTTACTAAATGTCCTTTACTACTCTTGTTCTCCAGGCCAGTTCTGGCAACCTTGTTTACTTGTGGCCTCGTTTCCAAATCCTTCTTGATTGTCTAGTTTATAGCTCCCTATATCAAAACCATCTTCTTCAGACATCGCATCTGCTCTCCTTGTCCTAATCGACATTAATGAAATACTCACCAGCATTAAATTCCTTTGGGCTTTATTTTTCTTGCCTTTGTAGTAAATAACTTAGATTCTGAAGAGATAAGGAAAGTCATTGCTCGATTTTGGCTGACATTCTGCAAAAGCTACACTCTTATTCTGAAGGTTACAGCTGTGTCCTTAATAAGTAGTACTGTCAGAGTATATGTTAGGACTAGTATGAGAAATTTTCTGCTAACTATATTTGAGAGGGTGGAAGATTTCTTTTAATCATGTTAATGATGTCCTCATGACCAAGAAATATGTGAAACAGGCAGTTTCCAGTAATGATTCTCTTTCTGTGACAAGTCACTTTAAGACTTATTTTGAAAACCCGTATTGGTGAGAGAGCATTTGTTAGCAATTCCATTTCATATACTGGCCTACCCCCATAGGAATTATCTTTTGATTATAAGATGGCTGTATTTCAGAATTATTACAGGAGCTTGCATTTGTTTTCCTAAGTGTTGTGGGTAGGCAACAGCTTAAGAATTGTAATGAGAAAGAGACATGACATTTATGAGTGATCACACTTGTGAAATAACTCCTTTTCTGTTCTCAGAAAATTCATGAATCAAAATCAGTCAATTCCTTCCTGATGTATATTTTTCAACTGCATGGAAGAAAAGATTTTAGCATTGTGAAATGATCGCTTTATTGATCTGTTACTGATGTTGCTGAAGCAGCTATGTCATTAGTATTGCTTTTCACAGAGTGAAAATAAAGAGGTATGACTGAATGCAGACAGTGCAATGTCAACCTCACCCTGTGACTGAGCAGCTGTAGCCATGTGCTGCCTCTCTGTACGATGTCCTGTTTTGACTTCAGAAACAGAAGGGTACTTGCATCACTTCTCTCTGAACGCATTGATTCAAACAAGTGATATTATGGAAGGTACAGCTAATGTACTTGCTTTAAAGTTATTGAACTGAACTAGATGAGAAGTAAATGTGCTGCTCACAAATCTGTGATTTTGTGGCGATTTGGATGTTTTGAAATGTTTTCTTAATGATTGGTTAAGGAAAAAATTTGTAACAACTTCATTTTCATTTTAAACAACTTCAGAATTTTTCAGTTAAGTCTTTTTGACAGTTATAAGGTGGAAATCTTAAAAAGTGCAAATGCGATGGTGAATAGAAGTAGATAATAGTCTACAGCTTTAATTTAGGCAGTGGGATACTTAGAAATGGAACCATCTGTCTATAATTAATTCACCATCACTCCTCATTGGAGCACTGCGAGAATTGCAGTTAATAATTTTGATTGCTAAAGCCTGTAAGTCAAGCAAAGAGAAATGATAAATAAATCAGAATAAAATAGAGCAAGCGCATTAAAAGAAAACATAAAGCTAAAGCAATATTTTAGCTTTTAGGTAAATATTTTTAGGTAAAAGAATTAAAGCCCAGCTGTGTTCTGTTTGAAAGTGAAGTCGTGCTTCAGATCTGCCCGACTTGCTCTGAGGCTTCACTTCCAGTGCCCACGGCTGGTCTGTGCTTGTCTTTCTCTTCTCTTTCAGGTAGTTTCTTCTCTCCTGGAAGAATATAAACATTTTTCAAGAGGGAAAATTTCTCATACTTCAGGGCTTCCACCACATCTCCCAGAGCTTCTTTTTCTTTTTGAATCTTCCAGTCATTCTCCTTGAAGGCTATGGATTCTTCCCAGAGAATGAGTTTGCTGCTTGAGATGGCCATCTCTTCATCCCAGAAGATCTTGTCCTTCTTCCAGAGAACTTTATGGTCCTTCCAGGAAGCCCTGTTCTTTTCCTGCATAGCTTTATTCTTACCCTGCAGTATTTTGTTCTTCTCATACATGGCTTTATTCTGTTCTTGGATATCTTGATTCTGTTTTAGGAAAGCCTTGACCACTTCCTGGCCAGCCTTATTCCTTTCACCAAGAACCTCAATCAAATCCTCAGCAACCTTCATTTTATTCCAGAATTCTTCAAGCTTTACCTGAATGTTACCAACTTGTTTCTGGAAGACATTTTTCTTCATCTGGATGACTCTGATCTTTTGTGAGAAGTCCTCGCTCTGTTCTAAAACATTCTTGATCTCTTCTTTGACAGCTTTGTTATTTTCCTGGAAGGTGTTGATTTCCCTCCATAAGGCTTTGCTCTCCTTCTGGAAGGCTCTTATCTCCTCATGGAAATTCTTATTTGCTTTGCAGAAGGCTTTAATTTCCTTCTTGAAGTCCCTTTGCTCTTCCTTCAAAATCCTGTACAGCCGCTCCTTGTGGAAGTTGGACAAGTTTTCTAGGAAGTCCTTACTCTGCCTTCTTGAACAGTACAAAGCAGGTATTGTAATACTTTGTTTTATTTCTACCATTCTTTGTGTGTTCTTTTTGTTTTCTTTCCTTTGGTTTTAGCTGATGCAGTAGAAACTGGATCCTTGGATCTGGCAGGGTAAAAAAAGGAACTCTTCAGGTACAAGTGCGCTGCTGTGCGGGGTGCTGGCTGCTTCTCCCAGAGAAACAGGGATGGCATTTGTGCAGAGACACTTTGGTTAGCCAGCAAAAACTCAAGGAATACAAAAGCATGCAGCGTTAGCTGTAAATTCCACGGGCTGTAATTAAATTATGTTACATTAAGAAACTATCAGATAAAACTATTCAGGTCATTCCATAAATGCGGTATGAGTCAGGTTATTAAAAATTAACACGGAATGATTTTCCAAGGTGACAAATGATTTGGGTACCTCTATTTTCAGAATCCAATGTGATGTACTTAAAAGGAGCTGGTCTTACTGCTTGGCATTCATAATCACTAGTCAATTGCAGTCATTCTGGGAGAGGAGCCTTGTATTATCTCATCACAAACTCTTTGCTTGGATAGCTGACAACTGTGCTGCCATTTGCATAGGCAGATATGTAGAGCAGCTGCTGCCCAGTGTGTGCCTGAACTTTAAAGGAAATTGTAACTAACACAAACACTTGTGCTGCTTACATCTGTGCTTTTAGCTTAATATTAACGTGTGTGATACAAGGGGAAGAACAGCACTTCTGCAGTAATTTATGTTGTGTGAGAAAATGTGAATGTGTTTACTCTTGCTTTGTCTTTTTTTTTTTTTTCCAGAAAAAAATGTATGTTTTCTACTTGTGTGGATACACAGAAGTTTTGTTTGCTGTAATAGTATGGTAATACAGAGGTGCAATCCCACATAATTTACACATCTGCTACTTCTTTTTGTGCTGTGTTGTAAGTAGAACAAACACCTCCAGTGATACACAGTTTGCAAAGGATAAGACACAACCCGTTACTCATTATTTAAGTACTATATGACATAGGGACTGTGAGGAAAATCTGCCAGCACTGTCAGCAAGCAGTGAACGTCTCAGATAAATCCATGTGTTCTCTTCCTTGAAAGAGGGAGTGAACAGTGGGCAGATTCATCAGGAAGGTCTCACAAACACTGAGATGTTGCCACTGCATTTCAGAGCACACTTTGCTGTAAAGACATGTCAGGAGACCTTTTCCCAGAAGGCCCTATGGATGAAGAGATTTGCAGGTTCCTTTGTGCACTCAGTGTCTCTCAGCACCTTCTCCTGTCAATTTTCAATAATTAGGTTTTAAAAATATATCAGATATTTTGCACCTCGTTTTCTTTTGGTGGACCGATTGAGTGCTTTTACCAAGAAATCGAACACCCAGCTTTAAATTGTGAGTAAATATTTTCCATATTGTATCTTACCTGCTTCTTTTTAGTCGCAGCGAAGACCCTCGTGCTGCCTTTGTTAGCTGAGGTCGCACACTGCAGGTGGGGAGATGTGAAACCATGACAGCCAGTTCTAGAGCGCAGGGGAGCTTGCTCAGCATTCACGGTTATGAGGTCACATCACTGGGGTTTTATTCCAGAAAAACAAAGGTAGACTCTTAACCTCATTCAGTCCTTACCAAAACATGTGGTCCTTCACTACCTAAAGCAGTTAAATATGTATTTTCTTTCTAAAAGGAAACTTTGGTTTCACGAGCAATTGTTGCTTATGCTTACCAAATTATATGGTTTGGGATGTGTTATGGAGGAGGAAAAGCTCTTACTAAAATATGCCATGTCTGACTATAAAACTTCTTATGTTTGGTGCTCTCAGTTGCTGTGCTTGTTTTCTTTTTGTTTGTCCTTTGTCATGTTGAATGTTCACAGTTTCAAATTAGGATTTATAATGTGTTTTTTTTTTGGCCTACAGGTGAACATAACTGTCCTTTTTTTTCACTACAATAATTCAATTTCCTATTTTATGTTCTAGCTGTCCAAAATTTGTATTGTATGTTTTCTGGGTTTATATACTACTGACTCATTCTTGTTTTCTTTTCTGCATAAATTTTGTATCTTCTTCAAGATAGATTGTCACTACTTTGAGCCAGAAATATATAGTGTGACAAAGCTAATTAGACAAACTGATAAGTGGATTAAAATCAGAAAAACAGTCAGAAGTTTGGGTTCAAGCCCTGTCCTGAAACATCACTCTGTTTTGTGAGAAGTACTTTTATGGTTAACATCAAAGAGAGGGCTTGTCTCCTATGGGACAGCTACCAACAAATGTAGGTTTTTGTATCACTGAAGTAAACTAGTCCATTTGGTTTCTTTTTTTCTCTTTTTTTTTCCTTTTTTTTTCTTTTCCGTGCAACAATCATGGGGCAAGTTTCAGCATAATCAAGCATAACTGATTACTGATAAACTGTGTATGAAGATCTTGGAAAATCCTCGTCTTGGTTCTTCTTCGAAATCTTCCCTGAGTTGCAGAGTCTCTAGTTCTAGTTCTACTGCAAATCTGTTTTTGAAGTTGGCCCTGCTTTGAGCATCAGACTGGGCCAGATGACCTCCGAAGATCCAAGCATGAGTTATTTAATGTTTCTAATGTAGGTTTTAAAGTATTCTACATCATGTTACAGGAAAAATATTTTGGTACCCATTGAAGACCTACTGATCCTGAAAATGTTGCTTTCTTGGCAGCTGATCAGCAGAGAGGTTTCAGAGCAGCTTTTGGATTAAGTCATTATGCCTGACATCTGCATCACCTCAGGCTAGCACAGATGAACAAACACTAAAAAAAGTAAAAGTTTACTTTTCCACTGGAATCAACAGTTCCTGGAATTATCCCAAAGTGAAACAGTACATACATGAGAGAAGGTGGGCTGATGTCTGTGTGTGATGAACACACACTACAGTATTAGCTAGTGCTCCCTGTCTGATCTCATTCTGGGCAAGAGGATGGAGAATTAGACAGCTCATTCCTATTTTGAAAGGATAGATATATTTCCAAGGGAACATGCAATGCAGTTGTATGAAGCTGTGAGCGTTCAGTTGCTGTAGAGGTCGAAGCACTCTCTGCAGGCAGCTCAGCTTTACCATGGAAATTTTCTGCCTGTCATTTATGTGCTTATCAGGTTGGCTTGCTTGCTTTCTTCTACCCTGCCCTCTGTGTCCTCTTCTCTGCCTTTTTTACTTCTAGAATTTTCAGTAGAAGGTGATAATGGGATATCTGTAATTTCCCTGAAAATGAATGAATTAAATGACATAAATGAGTATTTTGATCATTTCTAGAAAATGAATGCTGTCATGGAACTCAGAGTAGTGAAACCATAATTATTACTGAGTAGTACCCTGTGCCCTTTCCATCTCCTAGTATCTGCTAGACTTCATCCCTTATATTCATCTTTGACTAAGATAGTATGTACATTCTCTTATCTTTTTGAAACAGATGGTGCCCCAGACCCCCCTGTGTGCAAGAACAATCATACCACTATATGCAAAAGTTTTTTGAGTTGATTTTATTTTTCAGTCTAACAGGCAACTAATTATATTCACCATTTTCATTAACTTTTAATGAAAGAGCACTTCTAACACCATCAAATTTTCTGTGTAATTCTACAAGGAGCAATAGAAATTTGTTGGTTAAGATATCCTTAATGAAGTTAGGTTTTAGATTCCCCAGCCTCATTCATCTGCTGGTGAGTTAGAACCAGGCAGCTAAATGGTGGTGTTTCATCAGAGAAAACAGAGATGGTGAGCTGAGATTGGAAAAGGTTAACAGAACAAATTTGGAAATAAAAGGTAGATGATTTCAGAGAGCAGTCAAGGTTTTATTGGTGTAAGAAGGCAGACATCATTCTAAGCATGTGAGGGCCTCATCTTTGATTTCTGGCCAGTACAGTTGTGTTTTCTTCTGTGAATGTTTTCACTTTCCAAGGAATTCTTGTTCCTCTTCCCAAAGGTCCAGCTCCTTCTTCCAAAGGTCCAGCTCTGTTTTCCATTGGACTAGGTCTTTTCCCCAAATCTCCTCTTCATCCTTTAGTAGGATGTTGACATTGTTCCAAAAAGTCATGTTTTTTTTCCAGAGAGTCATGTTCTTTTTCCAAGCAGCCTTGCTCTTGTCTTGGAAGGCTGAGATCATATCCCCGTTCCCTTCCCAAAACAAATTGAGATTTTCTAATGTGATCTCTTTCCATTTCCTAACACTCTGGTTTTCCTTCTGTAATGCTGTCACCTTCTCTTGTAAATCTGTGATTAGGTGGCTTGTCAGATTCTCGAAATATACTGTTATTGTGTAGACAAGGAAGACAGATGATCTAGCAAGTTCCAAAAACATGAGATACCACCTTGAAAGTGACATGACCTCAGGACAGTTGATTATGTGAAGCAAGATCCTATAATGGCAGTTATGAAATACAATTAAAAGAGAACCATAATCCCATGGATAATTTTCAGCATAGAAAAGAACAAAATAAAACTATTGTCAAATTTGCTGTCACTGCAACCTCTACATGGCACTGTATTTTAATTGCTGAAATCAAAGACCAAAAGATTAATTAGCCAAAGTAATTACTGGAACTGTGTATTCATTCTACTTTCTCTGCACAAACACCTACTATTAATTTAAAGCCTATGTTTTATTTAGGATAGGAAAAGAGAGAACTGTGGACAGCTCTGATGAAAGTTTTCCATCTATGCCCTGCTATTAGTTTTCCATCAGATCTGAAAAAGTCACAGTAACATATAATGATAGAGCTCTTCAATGGCAACAGATCAGCTGCTTTTTCAGTTGATCTGTTGTCATGGTTGCTTCCATGATGTGAAACGTAAAATTTATAAAGAGAATCAAAAGTACTTCAGGCATAGTTCCATACTGTCAGTATTGATGTATCAACCTCTATCTGAAGAATACACTTCTGTTTAAACAGGATTTAAGGCTCAATGCAGGAATTCTTATGGCTCATGAGGGGAGTTGAGGGCAGATGCAGAACTCTGCACTCTGGTGACAGTGACAGGGTCCAAGGGAATGGCATGGAGCTGTGTAAGGAAAGGGTCAGGTGGGGGTTAGGGAAAGAGTCTGCACCAGAGGGAGGTGGGCATGGAGCAGGCTGCCCAGACGGTGGGCATGGCCCTGAGCTGCTGGAGCTCAGGAAGCATTTGAACAATGCTCTCAGATACAGGGGTTGGATTTGGGTGGTCCCATGAGGAGCCGGGTGTTGGTCCTTGTGAGTCCCTTCCAACTTGGGATATTCTATGAAATAGATCTGATAAGAGCACAGTGGTGCTTCTGCCCTTTGAATGCATGGATACCTGCAGCTGGTTAATGTCTTAGTGAAATGAAACCCATTTGCAAAAAACAAACCTTCCAGGGAGCCTCAGACATTTCTGCTCTGCAAGACACTGGTAAAAAGCTTGACAAAGTGTCCTTTGGTTCGTGTAAGTTTAATACTCACTATAAGCATTCATAGCTGGAGCTGGGCATACAAACAATTTTTGAATAGATGGTGAAAATGGAAAGAAAAGGCCAAACCAGACCTTTGAGAAGTGCAGGCTGCAAAAGTTAGAAAATATATATTTGACTTCAAAGACAATTACCTATTTTCTCTCAGGAGTACATTTTATTTTGCCTTTGTGTTTTTATATATTGGTCTCCTGACTTGTCCAATTTTTTTTCCCTCTGAGTCAGCGTATGCCTGTCATACCAGCAGCTCCTTCCCCACGAATACTTGCAGTCCCTTTGACAGAAAGGCCAATAACAAGAGAAAATGTCTCTTCTTTGTTTTGCTTTTAATAGATGTTGGATTCCCTAAAACTGGAGAAACACCTCAGTCCCTCCCCACATTCCCTTTACCTCAACTTTTTTTTCAATTCTTTTCTACTCTCATGTCTATTTCAGTCCCATCCCCATTTTACTTAGTACCTCTCTATCTGCTTCAGGAGGTCCTTTGCAGATTCTTATATGAAGAAAATTCTCTAGGCTCTTTCTCGAGGCTGATCTGTGTGCTCCCTGGCAGCCAGCTCCTTTAATTCTGTTGACAGGGCTAAAGAACTGTTGTGTCACACCTCCTGTAGTGATGTCACGTCAGGTCAGTGATGCTTCTGTCACATTGTTGAGCATACCTGAGATGCTCTTTAGGATGGCACATAGGTGTAAGGGGAAGAAGGGATCTGGGAAAAGTCAGTGGCACTTTCTTGTTGTTTTTTCTGCTGATACAGGCAGTTCTGGGGGCAGCTTGTTATCGATGTTATGCACACAATTGCAGTACCACTGACGTGGGACTGGAAGTGCTGAAGCAAATTTTCCATGGGAAATTTGTCTCTTTTGAACTAACCCACAGCTGAATGAGATCTCATTAGGGACCCTCATCAGATGTCTTCTGCCTTCCCGTGTTTTGGGATGTTGAGAACAGAGGATTTCCCATTATAAAGTAGCAATATTTAGTATTGCACAAGAGAGACATAACTCACAAACTGTGAAATGACTGCACTTCTTTTAGGATCTGCAGGCAACTACAAAAAATGTCAAGGACTTGTTTAGAGCAAAAAAAGACAAAAGGTAATGCAATAGAATAGATGCAGGCAAACTGTTTCATATAAAAGTGCTCATTAAATGCATGGCGTTGGGATTCATGTGGGTATATTCAGGAAGCAAAATTCTCTGGTTATTTTTTCAAGGCAACGATGCTAACAGCAAGAAGAGCTTAAGAACTGGAAATGATGAAGCTAATGTTGCCCTCCATGTGTGACAGTGTTCCCTCCATCTCAGACTCTGTGCCATGCAGATGCTGTCTCTTCCCCTTCAAGCAGATCATGGGTATCAGG